AGCAAAAATTAGATTTGTGAAGGAGTAATTCCATATGAAAACGTCTGAAAATACAAAAAAAATCATCGCGGACCTATTTTAGATTTTGCTATAACTTTGAGGTACTCTTTTTTAGGGTTCCAGAGAACAGAATTTACGCAAAACTAAATTCTTAGAAACGCTCATATCCGCCTCTCCGAACCAAAAGCTTTAAAAATCGCGGTTTTTATGCCTTAACAAATTTAGCTCTAAAATGTTTCCTTTTTGAGATATCTACCCACTTGTAGCGGGATTTTGAAGGCAAAAGAGGATAGTTTTAATGCAAGCAAACAAAATCGTATAAGCCAATATTTTCGAATAATGTCAGCGTCTTAAAATTACATGCTTTTTTTGTTTTGAGTAAAAAGCTTTTGTTTGCTTGCTTTGCTTGCTTCGCTGCGAGAAGTGTCAAAAATTATTTGGAATATACTAAAACATATAAAGGCTGGCCAAATGACAGCTTTTCTTCACTTGCTTTAAGCACGTCAAAGTTTGAAATAGGCAAATGTTTTGTTCGAAAGCGTTTTGTAGGCTTTTGACAAAGAGGTATGTTCCTTTCAAAATACATAAATTCAAATAAAAATTTGCTTACTTAATTTAAAAAAGTCCCAGAAAATGCAGGTAATTCGAAATGAAATAAAAATGAGTCATTGTTTCCATATTTATATTTAACATATCGTTATCTTATAGTAAAAAGTTGCAAAACCCACTTTTACAAATTTTACACGAGAGGAAAAAACTTCTTATAGCTCTTTTTTCAAGTAAATCGCTTTTTTAAGTTATAGGTTTTTTAGTAAATGTAGATATAGATATGTATGTATCATTATTATCATTTCTTTTAAATGCAAACATTATTGCGCATTAATTTAAAAATAAATCTGAAAGTTTTTGATACATTTTTTAGAGTTTTCTAGGAAATAATTATTAACGTTAAGGGAACAGATATTGACTTTTCAACCAGACAGCTGGTTACTTTGACAGCGTTCCAAGCCACCATTCGGCCGAGCAAGTTTTCAAAGTAAATCAAAGCAAATTGAAGTCAGCAAGGCGCGCAAAGCAAGCCTGCATTGGGCCAGCGCCTTTAAGTGTGCGTATCAGGGACGAAACACAGCTACGAGTCGACCCGACCAACTCACTCCTTATAAAAGAAAAATTTGCTTGAAGTTGCGAAATTTTAAAAATTCGTAATATTCTAGTTACGAAAAGAACGTTATTCCTGCTACATATAAATATGAAACTTACGGAATCTATAGTTCGTATCTTTAGCTTCAAGCGGCTGTATGTTAATGTTTACTCAGTATTAATTAATTGCATTATTTAATTTAGTAGATAACGCATCCCGAGGTTTTTTTTGAGTTGTGGTGAATTATATCCATAATTAAATATAATATGCTGAATACTCTACATAAAACGATGATATTCTTGGTTGTTGCGAATGAATCTGCATTTCTGGTTTTTTCTATCTAAACGGTTGATATTCTCATAAGCTTCAAAAGCATATTTAAGTATAAGCTGAGAAATGAAAAACAAACAATAAAACATTAATATAAAGAATTATATTAAATAAATACAATAATGCAATACACAAATTACATTTCGTGAAAACTCCGTTCAAGTTAAAATCAGCTGTTCGCATGGCAAACGAAAACAAAGTTGCCAACATAAGCGGTCAAATCTAACTATGACCGTTTTCACTTTGCTGCCATTTGGCTTTGCGTTCTCCTACCCAAAGAACTTGCATAATAGGGGAAATTGAGAGAACACAGTGTGATTGAGAGCTGCAAATTTCTACTGGAAAAATTTTTACTTGCGAAAACTTGCAAGTAAGAAAATCAGCTGATCACAAATATATGTTCGTGAATAAACTAAAGAAAATATGGCCTATTGAATTATTTATTGCAAATGTTACAATTAATGCTAGTATACTTATATCACATTGAGTGCCATGTCGTACGTTGTGGCACGGCATCTAATACTTCCTGGGGTGCCACGTCGTACGAAAGCGTACGACACACAGTGCTGTATAAGCGGGCAAAAATCAAAAAAATTGTTGTCACGTATGTCACCTTGTTTGGTATCGTTGGAAAGGAAATTTATCCTAGATTAAGGATCTGGACTTAGTTTTTGTTTTTATCTCATAAGGTTCTCACAAAAACCTCTTAAATTTGTGTGTTTTTTATATATTTTTTCTTTTATGAAAATGCCTTTAGCTGGAGTCTTAAAAAAAAAAATTGCTAAAAATACAATTTATCATACTTTATCTTAAAACAAAATTTTTCTAATTAGAAAATCTGTAAGGAAACCACTCTATAGAGCTTTTTAAAAAATAAAAATAAATAAATTTGTTGCAGAAAATTTAAAAAATTCCTAAGTTTACAAAGGGGGAAAAAAAAATATGTAAAAGTATGTTTTTTTTTTATTCTTTTATTTGAAAGAAGGGGCATTTTTCTTTGAAATAAAAAAAAAAGTCTGCAGACTCATTGCGCTTTTCGAAGAAAATCGTTTTTTTTAAGGTTATAAAATAAACTTTTGCAAAAAAAAAATTTCACTGATTACAGTTACCACAGTATTTTCCATTACTTAAATGCCAAAACATTCTTTAAAAATAGTAAAGTTTATTACTGTAGACACACGCGGTAGTGTTCTGTGCTGTGTAGTGAAGCGTAAAATAGTGAAAAAACTAATATTAATATGAATTCAATTATAAAAAACTCAATTTTAGCTGATATCTGGATTTCTACTCGTCCATCAGATAGAGTGTCTGCATTATCTGCATTTTTTGAAGACAAATTAATACACGCTAAATGCGACAAAGCACTTTTGAATCAAAAAATAAAACTTTTTAATAGTGAGATGAAAAATAAGTGGAATTATAGTGGCCGCAAAAGAAGCGCTTTTGAAAAAACATATTCTAAATGGCTAAATTGGACATTCCTTTCCCTTCCGGATTCCAATGGAAATAAGGATAAATGTGCTGAACGGGGAAGACCTTCTAAAGAAGAATTTTGCGAAGCTTCACGGAGAACAAAAAATCGAAGGGTAGAGCATTTGTTGAAAAACTATTCCATCGAAGAGCTCGAGTATGCTCTGAAAAAAATGAAAAAAGCAAGCAAAGTTGAATGTTTTGAAAGTAGTACCGAAGGTTTGCCCATATCTGATTCACTCGCACTATACATAGATCTGAACTTATCAGATCGTAAATATAATAGTTTACGTGCAAAAATAAACCGGTTGCATAAAGATTGTATACCGAGCTTAAACGCATTGCAAACAAAAAAACAAACTTTGCTGCCAACGATTAAATCGACTGAATATTCAGCCGAAGTTGATCTGAAATCATTATTGCTGAAAACAACGCAAAGTATTTTAGAACTAAGCCCAGATAATGGTGACATAACCAAAGCTTCTTTGGTTTGTAAGTGGGGCATGGATGGAAGTTCGGGGCATAGCCGCTATAAGCAAAATTTTGGTGACGACAAATTAACGGATGAGTTTATGTTCATCATTGCGCTAGTCCCTCTGAGGTAACAAAAAATTATCTAATATGTCTTCCAAAAACATTCAATAGCCTTTAAAAATAAATTCGAGTTTAGATCAGTAAATGGCATTTTAATTTACATTGACAACTTTTTACAGTATTATTTTGCAAAAGGCTGGTCTGAATTAATTAATTTACTCGATTAGCTATTTTGCGATATGACGGTCTTATATCTTTTCGACAAGCCATATAAGTTATTAAAAATTAAATATTTTTTCCAGGTTAATTGATTTGTCATCCAACAATAAACGGCGTTAGATAAAACAAATAATTTTTGATTCAGTATTTTGCAACAACTCTTGTTCGTGCGAAGTAACTAATAAAAAGGAAAACAAAATTATATTTGTCTTTTGAGTATTTAATGTCGTCTTGAATATATATATATTGATATAATCAATTCAAAAAAACGTTTTGTAGTCAAAAAGGACCAAAATGAAAGTAGCTGCCATTCCCAGAGGGTTTGCGTAAGAGAGATATAGGGAATCTTATTTGCCATGAATTAAGCCATAGAATGAAGCCTTGAAATCTTTAATATTATTAGGAAAANAATATCAAAATTTGCAGTTTCAATCTCAGTTTCCATGAAAAATGTAAGAGCTAGGTAAAAAAAAAATGATTTTTGAAATCTCCGTACTCTAATCCACCAAGAAACGAATTTTTACTCAAATCCGTCCATTATTCTATTTTTGCCCACTTTTTATATGGAGACACAGCACTGTGCGACAGGGGTTTTTCGCATTAGACATTGCTGTACTTTTTTGTGTGACCGTACAATGATTTTTTTATCTTTACTTTTCACTAACATTTGGTCCAACTTCCAACTTCAATAATGTTGATTTTTGCTGGTTTTATGACAAAAGCTCTGAGGTACTTTTTGGAAATGATAATTTATTGAAATTCATTCGGTATTTGGGAAAAAACAATGTAAAAGATAAAAAAATAATACAGCTAATAAATAATAATTTAAATAAAAGTACAAATACTATTAAAATTTTATTGCTAAATTTTTGTTTTAGTATTCAGGTGAAATCATTACATGTAGATATTAATTTTTAAGATGCGCATATTTCAGAAAGCAATCAAAGCACAAATGAGGAGTGTTGCGGACAGTACGTAGCTGTCTTTTTGATATGATTTCTAGTTTCTTTTCGATTTGATGCTTTTTTTGATATTGCATAGCATAAAACGCAATCATGTAGAACCGTTTTATTATTATCATCTACCCTTTTTGTGATAACATGTTTGGATTGCGATATAGGTTGCGGAGATGACAGATCTAGTAAATTCTTAGTAACGGAATGATCGGATATTTATATTTTTATTGGTAGCTTCTTTACAAACAATGAAGGCATTTACTACGGAAAGTCCAAGTAAGAGTTCAACTCCCAATTTCCTATACCATTTTAAACCTTTGCGAAGGGTATTAGCACAAGACGCCATTTGGTCAGACAGATCCAATGCCCGATTTGCCCTTATTATACTCAAACACTGCCAATGGCTTTTCTGTTGCCCGCCTTGTAGATCTCGATCGTCGATTAGTCGATGGCTCATCAGGATTAATTTGTTCGTTCAAAGTGGATACCATGACTGGGGCATGCTTCGTAGAAAGCATTCTGATATCACGTTTGTCTTTCCACTTCAGCACAACTATACCATTGGATTTTTCTCTAGCCACTACTTCGCCTTTCTTTATAGGAGCACCCATTAATTCTTTTCGGAAATATTTCTTGATGACAAGGAGTATACTGACAACATGTGTTTTTTGATTTATCATTGAACGAGCCAATTCATAGCTGGTGTAAAAGTTGTCTACATATAACGTTCGACCTTCTCCTTTCAATTTAGCGCTTATATCTTCGCAAATGTTTTTCGCCAAACCGAATTCCCAGTTGATGACTTGCCAGAATGTATTTTTACTGACCAAGTATCCTTCGGTAGAGCAGAGTTTAAAATGCTTTATACCATAAGGATTAGCCTTGTTTGCTATATATTTTCGGAAACTTAGTCTGCCTCGCCATGGAATAAGGGTCTCATCAATTACTATATTTTCACCTTGTACGTTAAGTCTTTGATATCGCATTTGAAGCATGTCCATTAGCGGTTGTATTTTACCAAGTCGATCGCCTGGTAAAATTGAATTGTTGTATGAGAAGTGCATGAAACTAAGCAACAACTGAAAACGATTTCGCGACATTATTTTTCCCGAAATGGCAAAGTTGTACAGAAATTATTTGGGCCAATAATCTTTTACCAGTTTGCACATCTAAAGGCCAAGCGCTTTAATTTGACACCTCATTTTTGAAAATCGAACGAACGGCGCAGATTTTTATGCGTAACAAAAAATGCCTTCGCGTTTTATGTATATAGGTAGATACGACTTCTACCAAACCCATCCGCAGCAGAAGGCCGAGGAATTTCTTCATTTCAAAGTTTGTTGTTGACATCCAATTTTTTTCGAGAAGATCTGGTAACAGTGTGTTGATTAAAATATTCTTGCACATATTTATTAGTTTCCGTGAAAATTAAATCAATAACTTCGTTGTCAACGAATAGGATAAATGCGTCCAAAACAAGCAATATTTTTTGAAATACATTGTTGCAAACCTGATCGCCCAGTGAATGTGAAAGACTTCTAGCGCGAAGAAAATTCAATTCAAATGTCGTTCGTTTCAGAATCTACTGCGTTTGATAAGCTCGTTGCTGCGGGTTCGTGCTCATCCATGTCCAAATCGTCTTCAGTATCGTAAATACCAATATTATGAGCCGAGTCCGCCTCATCAATCAACGAGTCATCGCAAGAAAAATCATCATCGCTTGTTTCCAAAACCTCAAGTATTTCACATTCCCTAAGGTTTCGTTTCTCCATTTTTTGCTGTTACAAATAAATCTACAAAATTAAAAATAAAAACAAAGTAAACAAAAAATATATCAAAGTAAAACCAATGAACACAAAGTAAATAATAAAATAGCAAAAAAATCGCGTCGTGCATTTTCGTACGACAGCGATTTTTACGATTCCACTTCCATCGTACAGTGCCATGTCGTACAAAAACGTACGACATATACAAATGTTATAAAATCCAAGATAAACCACAAAACATTTCAGGAATGGCTTAGAAATTAATATATGCTATTTTCACATAATTTAATATCAAAAAATTTGCTTGGCACCCGGTGAAGGCTTTCGTCAAATCCGCTTGGCACTCAATGTGATATAGTAAAAGAGAGCACAAGGTTTGTTGAGTTTATTTTTAGGTAATTTACTATAAGTCTCCGGTATTCTTACTTTAGTGTGTTCTAACTATGGTTGCCGAATGACCGTTTTCGTTTGTACCATAATTTTCCTTTAAATATTCCCAAATGAAATTTTTTAGCCGAATTTGTAATTTTTGGTAGGTTAATAGTTGAAATTAAAATTTTATAATTTCAAAGGTACATTTGTAGCTATAGAATATCGACTAAATATTTTTTTGGATCACGGACGGGTGTTTGGAGGAGATTCTCTTATTTTTGAAAGTGGCGTTTGCGCTGGTAGATTTCATATGAACAGCGTTAATTTATTACAGAGAATGGCAGTTGTTTCTTATTTATCAATTACTAGATTTTGTTGCTATGATATGCAAATCTCGCAAACTGGCAACGCTGGGAGTTCAACAAATCTGTGCCAACTGACGTCATTTGGAAATTCCAAGTTAAGCCAAATACTTCTTCCTCTTTATCTGCTACAACCTGCGGGTTTCGAGTTGAATACTTTCAAAGTTGGAGCATCGGTGTCCATTCGGAGGACATGACCTAACCAGCGTAGTCGTTGTATTTTAATTCGCCCGCACTATGTCCATATTTTTGTAAGGCTCATCGTTCCATCGTCTGTGGTATTCGCCATCGCCAACGCGCAAAGGTTCGTATATCTTCCGCAAAATCTTTCTCTCGAATACTCAAAGAACCGAATTTTCTGACGTAAAACGTCTGTGCCTTGCTTCAGCGCACTTGTGCACAGGGGTATTCTTACTTTGTTCGTATAACGGTTGTTTGCAACAGCCTAAAGGAATCGAGATAGATACGGACATATATATGTTTATAATAAATTACTCAGAATGAAAAGAGAAGCCATGTCTGACCGTGTACACCATAACGATAATAAAAATTGACATATCCCAAAGAAATTTGGTACAAAGGTTTCCCTGCATCCAATGTAGGTATTGAAAGCGTGCGTAATCGAACGGTTTACACGCCCACCTCCAATGTAATAGTATGTATCCAAATTGTTGGAAATTAGTATGTGAAGTTGAATTTTGGTAAAAAATTATATAAATTCAGTATCTCCGTAGCCGCTTCATCAATTCTTGCCAAACTCGATACGAGCCTTGCCTAGCTAAGAAATCTGTTGAAAATCGAGTGTCCTCATAATAATAATAGATTGGCGCTTACACATATGTTAGTGCTTGGCCGAGCTTCTCCTCCGATTTGTGGCGTACGCCTTGATGTTGTCACACAAAGAGGAGGGACCTACAGTTTAACGCCGACTCCGAACGGCGATTGTATTTTTATGAGAAGCTGTTTTCCATGGCAGAAATACACTCGGAGGTTTGCCATTGCCTGCCGAGGGACGACCGCTGTTAAGAAAAAACCTTTTTTCTATTTTTTTTTCGATGTTGCTATTACCAGGGGTTGAACTCAGGCNCCTCATGCTAGCCAATAATAGCATAGGTCACCTGCATATCCATATGCCTTGGATCCATTGATATTTAGCTTTTCGACAACCAGTGCCTCTGTCAGAAAACCACCGGCCGAATTCAGTAGTCGAATAGACTTTTCGATTTGGAGGGCAGTTGAAAAAATACCCGCCCCTACGCCAATCTATTTTTGAGTTGTCCATAAAAATAGATGCTTCGAAACGTTCAGAACAAACTGCAACCTTCCACTCCGTTGTTAATGCAAAGATTATCCTCCTGTTGCTGCCTTAACCACGTATCTACAACTTTTTGGAAAACTAATATTAGATAGATTAAGCGTCACACTATTTGAAATTAAAACAAAGACTAAATCTGGGTGTTCCCTAGTGTTAGTCGAACCAGAAATATTAAGTGTATTTCTATTGTTCCAGATACGACGTTAACGCAGAAACGGAATGTTGTACCGAAGTAGTTACATTTTTCATGAATGCTTGGGCCGTTGAAATGGCACAGGGTACGTCCATGCCCGTAAACGTACGCTATTTCTACATCGGTCCCGTAATCACAATTCAAGCTGAACTTTCTACCCTTAAATTGTGAATATGTATGTTTTGTGGTTTTACCACCAAATCAGATAACCGTATACAATAATTGGACGCATCAACGATTTTCACATCCCTAGCATAAGATCTCGGTGTACACCGCACTTCTTACCTAGATTTTTTTTAGAAGAATAAAGGCATTTTTAACACGATGCATTGGGGTAATTTCCAGCTTAGTTTCGGCATAAAAATGACTCCCAAATACTTAGCACAAAAGGAAAGAGAGTATATGTACGTCCATTCAAGGAAGATAGGTTAAAATGAGAAATAATTCTCTTCCTAGTGCATATTTATTAGCAGTTCAGTCTACGAGAGGATTACGTTGGGCCCGTAGCTGTCTGTCCAAGAACCCAATTCCCCTTTTCCGCATTCAGTTTATTACTAACTAGCAGGATCCCATTTTTAACACGGGCCTAACATTTGCGACATATTCTGTATTTGACTAGCTTCGAAGATGCTGAGCCAAATATTTTTGAAATACATAAAACATGAGCAATCATAAAAAACAGTCGCCACACAGTCCAGATATTGAAGCAATTAAAAAATAATATATATAAAAATATAAAATATATATAAAAATAATAATAATAATAATAATGTCGCAGCACCTGTGAGTTTTGTTGAGCGTTGGAGGCCGTAAAATGGCGTAAAACCTGAGTGCCCAGTACACGTGTGACACAGATACGATGAGTCAATGAGCGATCGTCGAACGCTTAACCGCCAATTGAAAACGGCGCAAAGGAATTGTTTGGCTGACAGCCAACCTTCGGAACAAACGAAATTAGTTGGCAACAAAAATAGCACCTTAACGCATATGGACATACATACTAGGGCATTCAATCCCGGAGCATTTTAACAATCCCAGGATTTTGGAAGTCGAAAAATTCGAATGCCGAGATGCAGGGATTTTTCGGGATTTCGACTTCATCACAACTTTTGAATTTAGCAGTAGGTTCGCCTTTTTTAAACGACACAGATTCATCGTCACAATTTTTGGTCTCAAAGGGAACATAATGCACCTCAGTCAAAGGCTCCGTAATTTAGCGTCTAAATATTTTTAGAGTATTCTTAAATATCTATATTAATTGTAAAAAAAATTTACTAATATTTTCAGAAATTCTTTTTCACAAACCGCCATTAAAATAAAATGAGGGACAACTCTTCCACACTGTAACATCTTGTCGTGTTTTCAATTGCTATCAGATTTTTCGTTACTAAACAGTTCTTGCACAAAACGTTTGGACAAGTACACTTATTGAGGTAGGTTCTGAAATTCACTTCCGAGGGCAAATGGCTAAAGTTCACTTTGAATAAAAATTTTGGTTTTCTGTATTTCTCGTTTTTCATGTCAAAAGAATTAATGTTCTTGTTTTCAAGATCCTTTCATTCTGAAAATGAATCAGTAAAACTCTCGGGAACCCGGAGCTGTAATCGCGGGATTTCGGAACATGGAAAAGCGTACGGGATTGAATGCACTAGTTCATACATATATTATGTAGACAAGTATGTATATACAAGCATACATACAGCAGTCAAGTTAAGCGATAACAGCTGACCAAGTAAGAGTGTGCCACACAAAAAAAAGAAAAGTTAAATGAATAAAATAATAAATGAAAGCTATTTAAATAAACTCAGATAAATTTAGAAAATTTTCTTACTTTTTAATTTTCTATACGTCAGTAGACAACGATTTTACATCTAGAAGTATGACTATGCTTATCCCGCAGCAATCGTTGACAACATTTTCAGTTTAAATTAACAGGGCAATTCTGGCATTCGTCTTTCAACTCGTTACAGTCTTTCGAAAGGCAAAGTTATTTCATTCGATAATTATCACTACTGGCAAATATCTTGAAAGCTCTTTTCTGTCTTCCAAAAGACTAATTGAAGGATCTGCTAACGAGGACGCCTTAGCGTTA